ATATTAGATAGCTGGATATACCAATACCTTGTTCCTAGATGGTTGGAGGCAATATGCAGGAAGCCTTGAACCACCTAGGTTTCGTGCTGGCTGACACTCACTAGTCAGTAAGGCGTATCTGCAACCTTGAAGGAACCCATGTCCCTTCTGAGATTCCAACCCAATTCACCCAGTGCTGCAGTTAGAGACGTTACCACTGAGCTGTTCGGGCCCGCGAGTGACCTCCTGTAGGACTGTAGTGGGTATTTTGATTGGACACCACCTACCTAGAATGGTGGCCACATTGCAAACCTGACTGATAGAATTCAGTCGGCACAAAAGAAAGGATTAGACACGTCACACTAGTTACTAGTGTCCAATCAAAACACAGTGTCTAAATGTTAAACACAATCGGCTAGCAACGTGAAGGCTCTGGGTTCCACCCTCCTGTGAAGTCAAGGGTAAACACTGATGAAGAGTCCAAAACTAGGGGGTGGAAACATCCGTTCAGTGCTCATTAGTTTTTGAAAATTTATTAATTGCTGTTTGTTCATAAGCGAATCCACAGTGAGATTAAACCTCCACAAACACAAAATCATCAAACTTATTTAGTGTTCTTTTTTATTTGTAACGACTAAGTAATAATAATAATAATAATAATAAGTACAATACCGATTACCGACTACCTATAAACTTTTTTGTAATTCACATTAATTTTTACTTAAATGAGCATTGATCAGCTAAACATGTCCACCTGATGCCCACAAGGAACTAATGTTATTCACTATCTGAATACCATTAACTACTACTGTAGATGCATTCAACTCAACACTTGACATAGATAGTTTGACAACCAGTTGCTATTACACAAATCCCTTACATACTCGAATGCACATAATATAAAAATCCCATTAAACGCGACTCAACTTTGTTAAACTTTGTGAATCGTACATTACACTACTTAGTAAGGAATTAAGTAATGCTATATCATTCCAGAAACGAAAGTTCATTCGGTCATTACCCCACACCTCATCTATGGGTTTTAATCATCAAAAAGCCAATCAGAAAACGAATGTATACTAAAATTCTGCTATCTTTGAATAATAAAATTTCTGCAACTAGGTATATTTTACAATCGAAGACGATAAAAATAGGTGTATTAATCAATAAAATTGTATACAAAATCTGAAATAAGATTAAGATAGGAGATTTATAGTGAACAGTATGAACTCAATTCACTCTATCCCATATCGCATACATTTATTCCCCTGTATGAATTTGAATAAAGCAAGAACAACAGTGGGTTGTGCAGCATAACATGTTACCATCATTTATTTCGTTAGCTTCTCATCAGTTGCTTACAGCCTTGTAAAATTATTAAGTTTATGTACAGGAAAGTCTTAACATACTTGCAAATTTTACATGATGTCAGTTGATACGAGGTTCAAAAATTAGTGGACAGTGCTCAGAAAATTATGCTTATACAGTTTTTACATAGGCAGTTCAAGTTTAAACAAAATAAATGTATGTATATAATGGTAAAGGAGTTACGTAATCAGGACAAGAGGTGAGTAACATGATGGATGACTAATAAATTAGGTAACAATGTGCTGAGTTCAACTCAAACCATAGGAACAAGAGACAAGCAAAATTACACTGTATCAAAGGGAGTGGATTCAAAACCAAAGATTACGTGACCAGATGAAAAAGAGAATAAAGACATCCAGTTACCAGGTTGGCAAGAAAAGACTGATAACTGCTTCTTTCTGGACACAAATTGGGTTTCAGACTTCGGCAAACTTGAGGAGAATTGAGTTTTTTTGCCTCTTGATAATTTTTAGAGATTTTGCGATTTCCACCTCATGACGCATATCAAGGAGATGCCTGGAAATGGCACTATTGCAAGTGTTTGTTCCCTTAAGACCTATGCCTTTCGGTACATGTTCGGAAAATCAGAGGTATGCATGCCCTTCTTTCTGTTCTTCCAATGTGTGTCGGTGGCACAGTGGTTAGGACTCTCGCCGACCATGCACATGGTCCGATGTTCGATCCCCCGCCGACGCACACCCGATATCTATGGTCGGCCTGCAAAATTTGGGCTACCGATATCCGTGCTGAAAATTCCATACTTGTACTGAAAATACGGTGTTACATCAAGCTGTAACCAAAAAAAAAAATGCACCCGCAGATACACGTAAATTTGTATACACACAGTTGGAGTTACCATGAGAAGGGTATCTGTTTGACTTTTGACTGCACCAAGCAGCATGTTTTCTGATGGAAGGGAACCAACTAAGCTGCAGGATACGCTCTGGCTAGTGACGCACTCAATCTTCTGTTGACAGTTGACGCAATATTTTCACCTTTAAAAACGAGTTGAATGAAGGTAGGCTTCTTTCTCACTGTGATTTGTTTGATGTTTGAGCCTTCACATCTTCCATATTTGTTAATGAATCTCTAGGGGTAACTGTTGTTTTTCAACATCTTTTCGATAATCATAAATTCGTCCTCTGCAGAGCACATTCTCCTAGCTCTATAGTGTAGGGTCTTGACTAGTGCTCGTTTAAAGCTAATTGGACAAAAACCATTAAAATGTAAGTATTGTCCATTCCATGTAAGCTTTCGGTAAATTGACCTCTGGAGACTACCATTTTCTAGGCGTTGCATGGCAATCTCAAGGAAATTGAACTTTCCATCATTTTCATATTCCATAATAAATTCAGTATTTGTATGTGCGTCGCTGAAAAATCTGATTGTCTGTCAACTTTGCTTTGAAATAATTCGCTACCTGAACAGTAGTAGAGTGTCACAATTAGATTTGCCCCTATAATCAATTTCAAATGTATTAACGTTGCACTAACAAACTAACGTGCGTCAGTGGCATAGAGGTTAGGACGCTAGCCTACCGGGGTTCGATCCCCGGCCGACGCACTCCTTTACCTCGCTAAGCCAGTAATGAAGCTTGTAAAGAGGGAAGGTTGGGCATGAGGCTAGCAACCTGAACCCGTAAAATAAAACCACAGCTACTGAAACTTCGAGCCTCTAGGTTGAATCCCTATGTTCCACACTGGGAACGTAAAGGAAAATAAAAAAGATTTCGTTAGTTTATTGTGAAACTATTTATGCTTGGTATTAAATCCGAGTATCTACCTGGAAACCTTCATTGCTATATGCTTTTTAATTCTGCCTCAATGTCTTTGATAAGTCCATCATAATATAGTTAGACCTCAGTTACTCAGAGTAGATTCTCTTGCTCTAATGTACATTCAAAACTTATTATGTCAAGTCAAATAACACTAATCAGTTGCTAAAGTTGAAGTAGGTGAAGCTGGATTTGAACTTTTTGTTCATTGACTGAAATTCGAATGCTAAGGGCAATGAACCACATCAAATCATATCATACTGTCGTGCGTGTACTGCTCACAACAATCTATCAGTAGAATATTGAGTGTAGGTGATTTCGTCTACAAGAATCTTGAATAGTGAGTGGAACGACAGATTACGTTACGATGAGAAGAAATGAAGGATCCTTGGGAAGTAACATAGAAGACACGGAAGGAAGTCAAAAGAGGCAGAATACGAAGAATTTGTACAAATGAAGGTTTTAATGTAAAATTTCTAGATTTTACCATCTCTGTATGTCACGTCTAGAGATGTGTCGGTGGTACAGTGGTAGAATGCTCGCCAACCACGCATGTGGCCTGGGGTTCGTTCCCCAGTCGATGCAGTCCTACACCTCGCTAAGCCAGTGGTAAGATCGGTAAAGAGAAAAGGTTGGACATGAGACTAGCAATCCCACCCCATAAAAATAAACACCACTGCTACTGAAACTTCAAATCTCTAGCTTGAAGCCGTATGTTCCATTAAGAATGTAAGGAAATAAAATAGTAATAAAAAGGTAAGTTATTTGCCAAGTGAACATTTCTGCTGCTACACAGTGAATATCTTACTGTTTAATTTCGAGGAAGCTAAGATTGATCAGATGAGTAGTTCATTATCAATTAATTCTTGGGATGTTTGTTAATGCTTATAGCGTGTTGGAAATTGTTGTCTGATTGGTTGGAGTCGTACAGATGTTAAATTGATGATTTCAAGTTGTACATGTCATACCTCGTCTACCCCAATCTATGGGTTATCATCATCAAATAACCAATCAAAAAAAAAACAAAAGTATACTAGAATTCTATTATTTTTCAATAATAAAATTTCTGCAACTAAGTATATTTTACAATCGAAGACGATAAAAATTGGTGTATTAATCAATAAAATTGTATACAAAATGTGAAATAAGATTAAGATAGGAGATTTATAGTGTACAGTATGGACTCAATTCACTCTATCCCATATCTCATACATTTATTCCCCTGTATGAATTTGAATAAAGCAAGAACAACAGT